ACACAATCACACCCCTTGAATTTTTTTCTTTTTTTTATGCAACAACCACAAACTTAAATCTATTTCATTGGGATTTTTTTGTGATGGAGTAACACAAAACAAGCAAAATTGTAAATTTTTGTTGTTGTTGTTTTTTCCATCTTTGGGTTTTTGGATGCTTGCCTGATGCTTTGCAAAAAATTTTATGATCCAAAGATTGATGATCAAATGCAGTCTATGTTGTTGAAGCACAAACCTTGAGAAATAAACCTTTATTTTAGCACCAAGTACCAAAATTGGCTTCTGATTACAGTTGCAAGTCTTAAGGGAATGTCTCTCCTGTTTTAAGTCTTGCTACAGATTTTAAATTCAATTTAGGTCTGGACTTTGACTGGACCATTCAAACAAACAAAAATGCTTTGATATGAACCTCCAGCAGGTTTACTGCCGGGATGACTCTGAAAATGTATTTCATCCCAGCTTCTCTGCTCTGGATGAAGAAAATCACCTGACATGCTTTATGCTGGAGTTGGTGTATTTACTAATTAGTTGACTTCTACAGTCAGTTGGTTGGTCTACGTTTTATTTTAGGGTATCTTTTTAAAGTGGGCTTAACGACCAGAGCTTCAGATTGTTATTTGTGAGGAATTTTTAAGTATGTCCTTTTCATCATCATGCACTTCATTTTGTTGCTCCATCACATCAAAATCAATAAATTACATTCAGGTTTGTGGTTGTTTGGTCACAAAAGTTAAAAGTTCAAGTGGAAAGCTGCTCTTATTCTCCCAGTAACTCTTACTTGCACACAGGTGGGATCCGTGGTGGCTGTTGGTTGGCTGCGCTCCAGGAAATCAGTTGACTGGCGTCTGTTCAGGAACATCTTCATCGCCTGGTTTGTCACAGTTCCCATCTCGGGGCTCATCAGTGCTGCCATCATGGCTCTCTTTATATATGTTATTCTGTAAAACCACCATCTTGAAACACTGTTAGCTTCCCGCTCTCTACTCTCACCAATTTAAAAAATATGCTTTCACTTTGTTACCTACTAATGATTGATTTATCATTTAGCGTAATTTTACCTCCATCCATCATTTTATAGGAATGTTTTCAAGAATGACATGGAGTTTTAGTAACACTGTTCAGCTGTCCAAATGACTGCGACCATGTACAGTATATTCCTCTGTATATTTGTATAAAATTTATCTGTATAAATCAGTTTTCTGAAAAGTGAGAGCATGCAGTAGCCAATAGCTTGAATGGAAATTAAATTATTGCACATATTTGAATGGAAATAGTTGTTTCATGAGAAGTGATTTCACAGTATGTATGTTTGCAAAGAAAATATTCACTTCACATTGTTCTGTGGGGGGTAAAAATACTTTGAGCTTACATTTCAAATTCTAAAAGTGATATAACAAAATTAACAGGTTTGCTTGTTTGTTTGTGTTTGTTATAATATATATGTATATGTATACATATTTGTTCTGCACTCGCATACATTTAATAATATGTCAAATAAAAGTGCTACGTGTTTTACAATTCAGATGAATTGTAATTTCTTTTTAATTTCACCACAAGGTGGTGCTATCACTGCAGAGGCCTCCAGATAAACAGTTCAAGCTCAGTTAGATTGCATTGAAAACATAATGTGAACATTACTTCACATGTGTGTAGTCTGTTTTTTTTTTTTGTTGTTGTTTTTTTTTTATGTTTTGCCAATGTTGTATGATTATCTCTGTGTTTGTTTTTTTTTTTTTTTTAGTGTTCTCCCCCATCCTGCTGCATAAAAACATGCCAAAGCGGACAATAATATAGTGATGCTGATACTTTTATAAAGCAGTCAAACATGTGTACACTGGAACAGTAACAATTGAATTCTATTCATTTTTAGTGCGTAGCACCAGTTCTCAACGAATGTCACCTCACAAGGTAAACAGGTCCAAACCGGGAGATGAGAACAGAAAGCAAACAAGAAATCACACAGAATCCTTCGTGCAGGCACAAGTCTGAATGCAGAGAGTTTACATATAAGCAAATTACTCATGGTGCATTGTTGTTGAAAGGTATTTTTAATAAAACCACTTTCCTGCTGTTCCTGTTGCGTGTCATTGCTCACGTGCGGCTCATTCACACTGACCACACAAAGGTCTCTAAGCCCTGTTCTAGCACCGGCATTAAATATGAGTAAAAGTCAGATTTGATTTCAAGTTGCATGACCTGCTTTGCCGGATTTCCTTTAACAATGTCCTTTATCTGTACTTTCTATAAACCATCCACCCAGACATGCAAATGTCTCTCCAAGATGGCACCAGGCGGTGTGCTGCAGAAAAGGTCGGAAAGGTCGCCTGACCTTCAGAGGGAAAAACAGAGACGCTCAGGACAAAATAGCCATGAATGTACACACTCACACAACTTCGAAAGACCAAATAACCTAACATGCTTGCTTTTCGACTGTAAGGAGAAAAGAACCAGGAGAAAACCCACGCAGACGGACCCCAGACCAAGATTCCAAACCAGCTCCTTCTGCGAGCAGGTTCAGCCTTTTCTCATTCATCTTTTGCATTCATATATCCACTTTAATCTTTAATCTTTCTTTGGTCTCTGTCTGTTTGCTAGTTTAGCTCTGCCAGCAGTGAAAAACAGCACAGGAATATCAGAAGAGACACAACGTGACCCTGGAGAAAATGCATTGTTTTGTCTCAGGCTGCACATGGCTAATTTCTGACACTGCCTGGATTATAAATAAGGCTGGTCATTCTGGACTTTGACACATCAGGTAAAGGTGTGGTTGGATTTGGGTGTTGTTCCAATTTTGACTGCTGCTGAAGTTCAGTTTGTTGTTTCCTAAAATGTCTCAATGTGATGAAACCATAAAAAAAAAAAATAGATAAAGATGCCTGGGTCTGTGCTAAAGACGCTTCCCAGAGATGAACCTGACTGAACTTAAAACTGGAAGAAAATTGCAAAAGAAACTTAAGCAACACAAAGCCACCTCTACAGAATAAACTGCTTCTGTTCTGCTGCTTTGCCAGTATATAATAATTAAAATAGGTTTTGTTTCCAAAAGTCCACAGCAAAGAGAAATAAAAAAAAAATACAAAATTATAGCTTCAGACAAACATTTATTATAAAATCGCTTTGGTTTTTTTTAGTGCTCACTTCACTAACGCCAACATCCCACGTGATGGCGCTGTTTTGTAAAGCTAGAGTCGCTGTTGTTGGCGGGGTTTAAAAAAAAAAAAAAAAAAAAGGAAGAAAATGTTTTTTCATCACACTAATCTCTCCATGTAACCAGGCAACACACATGTGTAATTCTCACAGTAGGAAACCAGCGAGTGACCAGGCAGGCCAAGAACAATGATCATCCAAACTAATGAAGAGAAAAACTATTTTAAAATAAGACATGTCAATTTTAAACTACTAATAAAATCAATAAATAATGACAAGTCCTTGTTTCATTGTGTTCTGATCAGATTTAAATTGCTTAGTCATTGCATCGTAATTTGCTGACAGATCAAGTTATTGTGAAGAAAAAAGACAACACTGCAGAGCTAAAAGTGGGGGGGAAATAGCAATAGAAACAAAGGACAATCTCCGTAAGAAAAAAAATACAGTAGAAAGTACAGTAGTACAGTAGGAGTTATGCTCTTCCTCCCATTAAATTTCCTTCTGTTAGGCCACAAACTCTCTTCCACGTCAAAAAGATTATCTTCTCTTGTGATGCAGTTTGAATTTGCCACAAACCATGTAGGGCACACAGCAGCACACATGCAGAAGAAAATGTTTCTTTCTGGCCTACATGTCAAAAACACCTTCTGCAGAGGAAAAACTAACACTGTACATAACAGTGACTACACCATACACATTTTACTGTATTTACATACATAGCGGTGGCAGCATCATGGCGTGGGATTGTTTATCTTCACAAGTAGGAATGTGTGAAATATTCAGATTCTAAAGGTGGTCTACAAAAAAGAAAGTAGGCTGGCAGCTGTGAAAGGTGGTTCTGAGATTAACTCAGAAGCTATTTAGCACATCACACTTTGCAAGTTTTCATTTGTACAAAGACATTGCAAGACATGTATCACTCCTCCTATTTAGCTTTCCTCTATTGGCTCCCTGCTAAATCCAGAATAGAGATTAACATTCTCCATATGAATCCCTGAATCGTCTGACTCGGATCTGATTGCTCCACAATGTTTCTAACAGAGCAAAATTGCATTGCTTGCTGTTGTTTCAGTTTTCAACTTCCCTATCTGGATTTTCGTGGTCTCTCACATCTGGTCTTTAACTCCAGCTGTGCTTCGGCTGAGCTACTGCTGCCTACGACTTTACATCAAGTTATAGATCAGACTTGACCGCATCTTTCAGTGCTTAACCCTGTTTCTCTCCGTAACAAGGCTGGGCTTTTGATGCCCCCGACTTCCTGTGCTCTTTTTCATTCATCAGCCTTCAAAGCTACTCAGAGCTCATTCAATAAGATCTAATAAATCAAGCTGCTAAAGGAGCTACCACTCATATTAACTTCCTACTTATAGAAAGTACTGATGTATTGGTGCTTCAGTTTTTTTATATATATTTATATATATATATGGTCGTTCACTCACACAGCTATTTTCTGTTAAAGGTTAGTTTTTCCTCTTCACTGTCGCTACATGCTCATCCAGTCAGTGATTTGATGCAATCTGCTTGGTTTCATTGGGTAAAACGTTTTTTTTATGACCAATTTGAATGATATCAACTCTCCTGTGTCTGACTTAACTGCCCTTTTCAGTGAAGTGTCTTGAGATGACGTGTGCTTTATTTACGCCATGTAAATAAACAGAACTGAGCTGATTTGTGCCAGTCCCTCACATGCAAGCTCAGTGATGAACACACCGCGGTTTTCAAAAATACATAGATAAGTTCAAAGGTCCCAGTGTGTGTGTGTGTGTGTGTAGGTGTGTGCGTGCCCCGTTTATCGTCAGCTCCTCTCGTTGAGGACGCAGTTTATTTTGAAACCGGATGCCGGAAGCGCCAACTTTTTTTCGCGTTTTCTGCGCGGATTGACCAATAGGCTACATTTCTGTCCATGCATACAGGTGTGCACGGCTGCGCATACTGTAGCAGCGTGGGATCGGGCGCTTTGCGTTTGGGAGCGTCTGCTGATTGTTTGTGTGACGCGGACGGAAAGCAGCGGAGCGGCGCCTGTCTGCAAACCGCGCAACTGGGGCAATGCATTCAGTCAGCGCGCAGCAGCGGCAGCAGCGCACCGACGAGCCGCTGTGATCCGAGAGCCTCCGCACGGCGACGGCTCTCTCTTTCGTAACGGAGTCCGGGCAGCTTCGGCGTTTGCGGGACAATTCCGAGCTCTGAGTGTCGGGACGAGGCAGGCGTGTGTCGGAGGGTTTGCGTCGCCTCTTTGTTGTTGTTGTTGTTTTTTTCGTATCGCTCTCTGGTTTTCATCCCGGATCCCGCAAGATGCAGCCTCTTCTTACCTGACAGCTCTGTGGCACCACAGCTGCTGCTGCCTACAGGTCTGTATCTGTAACATCTCTTGTGAGGCATTTTCTCTGTTCGCAGTTCATCTGGAGATCGCATGTGCTATTTTGTTTTCTGGTTCACAGCAGATAGAGCTGTCTCTGTAAGATACCGTCTCGATGATCTGATAATAGCTGGCTCTATTTTTTTTATTTTTTGCTGTGTTTGCACACTGCCCATCTATACATCTGATGACAGTTATTTTGCTGCTGCTGCTGCTGCTGACACAGCTCGCTCAGTTTTCATACATTTTGAAGCAAATCCGGATCGGTAACAGGATCAGAGCTGCATATTTAGATGTGCGTCCCTTCCTGCAGAAACAGCAGCTGAAACTCATTTAGGACATCTGTTTATTAGTGGGTTATTTATTTATATATTTATTTATTTTTTGCTACTTGTCATTTGCTTAGTGAATGTCTTCTGTCTACCTGCTGCAGCTCTCCTGTGGTCATCATCATCATCATCATCATCATCATCAGGATCTGTCACGTCAAACAGGACAAGATAGGCTTCGGCTCGTCATCGAAAGTGGCCCCTGTCAAGAGAGAAACCTGCTGAAGATGACTTCATCCGAGCCGATTGCCTGAAAGCAGCATGAGATAACTGAGGACCATCACACTAACTGCTGATTCGAGCTGTTTTCTCTTTTGAGGACTGGTCCAAAACCATGTTCTTGTGTGTGAGCTGACTCACCGGCGGGGTTGGGGCCCGGGGGTCGCAGTGGTGTTCTAGCACGGGGACGCAGCCCAGCAGCTCAGACGCGGACACCGCCGGAGAAAGATGGCTCGCCCCGGGTCGGGGCTCCTGGTGCCCATGAACGGCGTGGGGTACCCGCCTCAGAACCTGGCCAGGGTGGTGGTCTGGGAGTGGCTGAACGAGCACGGGCGCTGGAGGCCGTACAGCGCGGCGGTGTGCCACCACATCGAGAACGTGCTGAAGGGGGACGCCAGGGGAAGCGTGGTTCTCGGGCAGGTGGATGCCCAGCTCTCCCCTTACATCATCGACCTGCAGTCTATGCACCAGTTTCGGCAGGACACAGGTAAGAGGCAGGAGACCCTGGGCAGAGATGACTTAGCTGTCGCTTTCCAGGAGAGTGGAGATGCTACAGTGGAAATGTGTTATTGCCCTTTGCAGACTTTTTCAGTTTGTTTCTTTTGTGTGTGTGTCTTGTAGTAAACTGAGACAAAAATAACATGAGCAATTATGGATCAGTATTCATATAATGATTTAGTTTAGCAGCTGGTAAGCGCTATCCAAACCAAAAGTAAATAAGTAATATCCTCTTAAAGCCAGTGCCATCGTCCTTGGTGGCAACAACTGCTGCCAAGCGTTTGTGATAACTGGGAATCAGTCTTTTGCCTCGTTGGAGAGATTTAGAGCAATGAGGGGAGATCTCAATCGGATTTATGTCTGGATTTCAACTAGACTTCTCCAAAATTCTTTACTTTTCTTTTTTGTTGTTATTGAGCGAGTCTGAGGTAGACTTGCTGCTGTCTGTGGTTTGGATCATTTTTCTGCTGAGTGCGTTTGAGCTTAATGTCACAAAACGGTTGCTGAACATTTTCCTGTGGGAACACACAGACACACACACACAGACACACACACCCCCATGCACACCTTCCAAAAAGCTCCACTTTTTGTCTGGTCAATCCATAATATATTTTAATATAATTTATTAAATTTTAATTTAATTGTTTTAAGATGAATGTGAGATGAGGCTTTTTGTTGCTTTTGGTCATCTGTGGTTTTCACCTTAGAAAGCTAAAATGTTTTTGACTCTTTCTCACTCTTGGAAGTAAAAAGAGAAGACGTATATGTAAGTAGGCAAATAATCTTCACAGCACTTTAAGAGTAGTTTTATGACTTTAGCAGGCATGGGCCATTTTGAGATTTTCACACTCTGGTAAGCTGAGTAAAAAATCCCACTGTACCATCCTGTTAATACTTTGCTATGTCAATATTTTGTGTCATTCATTTGCTGAGGCTGATGTATGGAAGATGCAGAACTGAGAAGCGAACAGCACTAATGTGCTTCAAGTGAAGTGTTTTTTTTTTTTTTTGACTCGTCGTCATCCAGCAGTTTGAATGCCATGACCTTGACTGAGGTCAGCAGGAGTGAGCACCGTTTAGTCAGTGGCTTTCTGTTCACTCTCCTTTCAAAGAAAGCGATTCCACGTGTGAATGTGTCCCAGGGCAGTTTTTACATCTTCATAAGGTGACAAGAGGTGCAGGTTGACTCCAGGACTGATTCCATCTGATGCAAACATGATAACCAGAGTCGTTTTTGTTTTTTGTGTGAGTTTTATAAGAAACCTAATGGTGATCTAATCGGGTAATGAAGGAAGGAATATGTTCACCTTTGATGACCTTCCAGTGGGAAACTAGTGCTGGAAAAAAAGGAGCATGTAAAACATTTCCAGTCAGAATAATGGTCTGTTACAAAAGTTAAAAGCAAAAATTATTATGGCATATAATATAACATATGTATATTTTTACCCAACATAAACACACTGGCTCCTACCTCCATTTCTGATGTAAATAAAAATTTACTTCTATATAAAATCACCGTGCAAACCTTGACAATTCAACGGTTTCTAAAACAGCCTTTGCGTGACACATTTTCTGAGGCGACTTTATATGCTAAAAGCTTGAGTTGGTTCCCGTATTGCTCCAGCACTTGGCTTCTGCCTCGAGGACCAATTCATCTGCTTTTGTACAAAATGCAAATGAAAAAAAGAGTTTGGTGTCGCAGGTCACATAATAACTGCTTGAAACATTTTAATAGAACCTTTCTTAAAACAAAAAACAAACAAAAAAAAAACTTTCAAAATGGCAGAGTTCACACCTTCTGCTCAGTAATCCGAACTTTCATGTTTCATTTGCTGGCCTAAATGTTTCTGATTAGCTAGAAATCCAGAGAGCCACAAAATGAGCTTTATATCTGAAGCTTTATTGTAAGCAAAAGTCACATTTGCAAAAAAAAAAAAAAAAAAGTAACCACCTAAAGACATTTCACAATTTTCTGTCATAGGCTGTGGGTTCCTTCGTCTTCTTCTGTTTTTTAGTTTTTTTTTGTCGTAGATGTTATGCAACATGAAAGCATCACGTGGCTCATAGACGTACACGTGGGATCTGCAGAAGGTGACCCCGCAGTGCATTCAACTGCTCTGTGTCACCTTTAATGGGTTTGCTGTGGTTAATTTGCGAGTGCATTATTATATTAGAGCGCAGACAGAACAGAAGCACGGCTCTAATTCGGTAAGGGCTCTTCCTCATTGAATTAGATCCATCTGAAGTTTTATGCAGATGTGTGTGTGGCTGGTAACTGTCCAGTTTTACAAACAAACATTGAGATTATTTTTTTCCGTTTTGACGAGCAAATGTTGTGTTTCTTTTTCCAGGTTTTGTGGAACGAAAAAACAAGCTTACGCAGTTGCTGGCGATTATATAGTGCCCTTCGAAAGTATTCATACTCCTTGAACTGAAAATATCTGATGTGAATTTGTATCCAATCAAACCCTGTCCACCATGAAACACGGCGCTGGATGCATCATCCTGTGGGAATGCTTTTTATTCAGGAGGGACAGGGTAGTTAAGCCGGAGTCGGTGGGATTGTTGGATGGAGGTAAACGAGGCAACCTCAGAGGAAAACCAGTCAGAGGCTGCAAAAACACTCTGACTGGTCTTTTTTGCCTTCCAGTAGGTCGTCAGCCACACTAATACGGAATCCTTTAATCAAATTGCATTAATGTGTTTGAATAGGTCAGCTCTAAATCTAATTTAGAATTTGTGCCGAGACTTGAAAACTGATCACAGAAGTTTGCTGTCCACTCAAACAGAATGCTAATCGCAGAGAAATGTTGCTTTTGGACAATTTACTCAGAGGGACGGAACACAAATTCCAAAAACTATGTCCTTCATTAGTAAAAGACGTAGAAAAACAATGTACATTTTGCAATTACGCCCTAATATGTTGGTCTAGTGTGCAAAATCCCTCTTCCACTGAAGGGGCTTTTCCAGGCATCTTGCATTTTGTAGAGTTAGGTCCTGAAGGAACAAGGATTCATAGTAAATAATGGCTTTTTTCAGTTCCATTTGAATAAAATGTGGAAACGAGCGCAGCTGCTTTCCTTCTCATCCGTTCAACCCTGGAATGCCCTACGAAGATGTCGGGCTTAGTTTCCGATCCTTCTCACCGGCGCTGCCCCGTCTAACAGAGTGCAATGCACAGCCTCCCACGTGCCTCCAGTTTGACTGGCTGTGAGATGAGCCTGTAAACACTTTGTCAGTCATTACCGCAGAGCAAGATCCGGGCCTGACGTTTATCTGGTCTCCCGGTGCCGTTCGGAGCGCTGTCTTCACCTCTGTCTGGGATCAACCTGTCACGGCGTAGCCTGACGAGAATCCTCTCAATCCTCTGAACTCTCACCCCCCCTCCCGCACCTAAACGCGCTCAACCTCCAGCCAGGACATCGTCTTTGATGCTTCGTGAGCTTGTCAAACGCGGTGTTCGACGCATGCTGTCAGGAGATCCCATTCACTAGGGGAGTGGGTGATCTCATCCTCTGAGGCCAGTTTTAGCAGGAAATGGGAGTCAAATTTATTTGTGTGGCACAATTGGGCAACGAGGCGGCTAAACGTGCCCTACATCATAAAAAACATAATGAAGCAAACAATAAACATTACAGTTTGTCAAATGTCATCATCAAAATCATCAAACAAATCCACTAGTGGGGTCAGGAGGTGTACTGGTGCCCATCTCCAGCAAGACATTTCGGGAGAGAGGTGGGGTACGCCCTGGACAGGTCTCCAATCCATCGCAAGATTGACACAACAACAGATCATTCATATATTTTGGGTCAGTGATTTATCCATCTTCCTGGTTTTAGTCAGAACGTGAGCAGCGGCGTTCTGGATGATTTTTTTGTTTGTAGGCAGACTTGTGAAGACGCTGTTGCAGTAATCAAAAATGACAAAAGACAAACACATGGATGAGTTTCTCTACATCTTCCTGGGACATTAGTCCTCTAACTCTGGAAATGCTCTTCAGGTGACAAGAGGCTGATTTTGTAGCTGCCTTTATGTGGCTCTGAAGGTTCAGGTCTGAATCCATCCCTTCACCCACATTTCAGACCCGGTCACCAGCTTAGGTGTAATAGATGAAGCTGCGTGCCAACTCTTTAGGTCCAAAGATGCTGACTTTTGTTTCTGTTCAGCTGGAAAAAGAATCCTGCCGTCTATGTACGAGAATGCAAAGTTTAAAGGATCCTGTGTGTGCAGGGTGTGTGGGTTTGGGAGGATCCCCTGTGGGCAGCAACCAGGCCGACTTACTCCGACTAATGAGACTGCAGGTTTAGTTTACAGTGCGCTCCCTGTAATCGGAGCGCCGTGACGACAGCGCTGGCACCGCACATGATGCTGCAGGGTCCCTCTCTTCGGCTGGCAGTCCAAGCACAAGTGTACTTAATTTGCAGCGGGATGAATCACGGCGCGGGAACCTCGGTGAGGCCGGCCCTGCGCGTGTGAAGGCAAAGGCGGCGACTGGCTGCCGGCCAATCGGGATCAATCTGTCCTCCTCCACAGATGCCCGGCTGAAAATCTGAACACTGCTTCGCACAGACCCCCTTTCAGTACAGCGCTCCCTGGGTGAAACAGACAGACCCGTCTGCCGTCATACACCAACGCTCCCGGCCTGTCAGATGGACGTTTCACTGATTGATTCAGCCGCCTGGCTTTTAAGCACTCACATCTTCAATATTTTCCCTTTTTATGACAAGGGCTACGAGGCACAGATCAGCTCATCTGCATTCGTGTGTGTGTGTGTGTGTGTCGTTCTCACTTGTTGTGACCTTTTTTCTTGCCGAGTAGAAATTTGCTTTGTGCAGCGCAGAAATTGAAATGCAGCACGTGTCAGCCGTGGGTGATCTTTCCCACCGACATTGTGCAAATTGAATTTATATCCTGATTATTTGCTCGGGTGGCTTCCCCATGAGTTTAAGTCAGCGTTCAAGTTTGATATTTGCCAATCATAGGGTGACT